TACCACTTGCTCATTATATGTATACCACTTCTAGTTGAAGAGGTTTCACTCAGGTTTTACATTGCATCTCTATCTCTTTTTGCAAGACAATTCGGGTCTCATATGGTCTGTTTCATCTACCACCGCAAATAACCATCCCTCGCCGCTGTCCCCAGCTCCCAGCTGGGCTCTCCAGCTCGCCACGGCTAGCATCTTGTTTGGCCTGCTTGGCCCGGGCTGGGGCGGAGGTCGGCCTGGCATGAGAGGTCGACAACGAGGAACAACAGGCGTGGGAAATCAAAGATCAATTCAATTCACGCCCCTAGTACTAGGGAGCATCTCAGAAACTGGTAAACAATAAAGGAAGTCTGGATCTCTGTCTGTTTGCCCAAGATTAAATATCAGCACTGATAGGCTATTGATATGGCGGTGGTCCAGGGCTGCTGTATATTGACTCCGGAAAAGCTTCTGGACGAGCATCGTCACATCTCTCATCAGCGGTGGGGGATTTCTCTCCCAAAAGGACCGTAGCAGTTATCACAAGTTGCAAGGACCACGCATCTCAACAAAAGCATTGTTCAACACTTCAAGTAGTTGGCACCTAGGAGCTTCCTTGTTCCTAGTACAGTAGTACGGCCAGGAGCCCCTAGTAGCTTCTTGCTACAATTCAACAAAGGTCTCAAGGACCTGTTCCTCCCTGTCCCTGCCTTGCTTGCGGGACTCGCTGATTCTCTTTGCCTGACGAATGTCCATGTCCTTGCAGTCATCAAGCAGGCCTCCTCCTAACATATGCATGACTCACTGTATGACATTAGCACCCCTCTTGCTGAGAGCGACAAGCCTTTAGGAGGGGGAACTATGCCAGAAGCATCAGTACCCAACGGACTTGCTGGCGAGTGAAATTGGCTGGCCACAATCCATCGTGCTCAGCAACCTCATGAAATCTAGAACCAACTGCGGCCAATGCTGGGCCTACCTATCCAACCCTGCAAACGCTGAAAAACTCCGGTCTTTGCTTTGTGTGCTGTGCCACTGCTATGCCTCTTCTCGGCCTAAGCAGTGTCAAAACCATTCAAAACTTCCGTTCATAGTTTTGGGCATGCCAAATGATCTCAATGTGGTCCGCCAACCCCACCCGTCACCCGCCTGCCGTTCGCGGAGTGCGTGGTGTCCTGGGACTCGGCCTGAGCGGAAATGACACGACAGTTGCTTAACTTGACTTTTGAGAGGCTCTCCCTGTTTACATCTATTGAATGCACCACTATACGAGCTCCAAATCGACTCCGGTTCCTGTCAGCAACTGAGGAGGGTTGTGCCATGCCCCTCAGAACATGGCAAGCCGTGTATGTATCTGTCCCTGTGCGCTTGTTTGTGCATAATATGTTTACATAATATATAATATGTCAACTGCATATATACAGACGTCTTGAAGGGGCTGGCTTCATCGATGTCAACTGAAGGGGGAAACCGCAGCACAGTGCACATCAGCAAGCCGTCGGCTGTTTCTCCGCTCTGTTGGACTCGGTCGAGTGAAACCGAAGGCAGGCAGGCATTTCAAGAGCTGAAGTGGGCGTGTCATGTCGCAGAATGACTGACCCCAACCAATCGCTGTTCAGATGTGTTCAAGTGTTCTGATCATCCCCATCATATCAGCATTGTTTGGGGGAGGCGCGGCTGTTTAGATCTACTGTAAGGCGACATTTTCAAGTCAGATTACCTACTTGCACAACCACAGTTCCAAACCTCTACCAATGCTCTACCATAATTAAAGGCATGTCGAGTCTCCTCGAACAATGGTCCCTGAATCCCTGAACACACCGTCCGCCGTCCGTGCGTTAGCCTGCGCCAGAGGCTAGGAAAGTCAGGCAAGCAAATGAAACCAAGGATGTGGACTTATGCACCGACATGATGGTAAAATTTCGACTGTCGTCCAAGGATTGTAGAAGTGTATACAAATGCAAACTATCAATAACTGTAAAGCCTGTGAAACCAAAGTTTTTCTTACCTCAAACTTAGGATTTCCTCAGTGAGCACATTTCTCGCAAAACATATCAAATCGCAAGACCCTGGTTATGACGAGTCCACTGGCCCAAGAACAACACAAAAAACATCAAAACACAATCAGCGCTAGTCACTGCTGGCCCGGTTATCCGGTCACTTCAGGAAGCCTCTTTTCAACGCTGCCATCACTTTCGGAAGCGCCTGACCGGGCTGGAGAGTCGTTGACGGTCCGATATATGGATCTTGTGGGTTCCAGGTTGTTAGGGAGTCGAGAGCGGCTCTCAACCTCCAGGTCGATGAAGTGGAGACCCTTCGGAGTCTCGTGGCCACGGCACACCGGCTCATCAAGCAGGTGATGTGGGAGATGGAACTGCACAACTCCATGTGTCCCTTCTCCAGGGACATCGTGACCTCAAAAACTGCTGCCTGCTGGCATCATGAGACGTGCCACATGGTGGACCAGATGACGGGTCCATTGTACGTGAGAAGGGCTTACTGTGCAATGCACAGGCCGCCGCCTGATAGGACTGATGCCCAAGCTCGCACCATACGTCCTGAGCTGAATGCCTTCCTTGCTGCAGCATCGGCATGGAGTGAGGGATAAGCTTCCCCCCATGTTGAGACTTGAGACGCACGCTGTGCGTCAAGCTGACATGTCATGTCACGACTTTTCATGACTGTTTGTACATGAAGCCCATACACGTTCCACCGAGAGGGTGGGCTCAAGAGCTTTGGAAAAGCTGCGTGTGGCGTTCATTCGCCTACCGCGTCGACTCCGTTCGTCGCACTTTCTTTCCGTGTTGGTCGTGGACCTCGTGAGCTACGACCTTGTTTCTACATGGACAATTTTGGACATTTGGATTCACATGTTCATGTCCCTGGCTGAACGCAAAGCATCTGCACTGCGTTGTTGTTCTTGGTCAAGTAGGCCACGTAGCCTGGAGTGGACGACAGGTTCGTCTTTCTGGATCTCAGCTTCCTTGGTGAGTGGTGCCTCCTTCTTCTTCTGGCCTGGAAGTGGCACAGTCCAGCGACCACACATGAAGACGCCGGTCATGATGCACACATGGAGGAGGGCCAGAATGGCCAGCCACAGCCACAACTGACTTCCATCTTCCGTGTCTGACGGAACTCCTTTCTCACATTGCTGACCTTTTGCCACAGTCAGCGTGGAAGCTAGCAGCAACATCACAAGGACATTCGAGAAGCGACCCTTAAAGGAGGTATCCCGGAACCAGCCGCCATGGCTCATGGCGTACACATAGGTCAGGGGCTCCACATTCTGTGAGCAGAAGACTTTCACAGGGGTCTCTTCATACCTTGGGTGGTCATCATCAGCAAAGATCTCCGGATACTCAGTCACATCGACATTCTCAGGGATCTGCTCATCAACAGTAGCCTCATTCTCGTGATCAAGTCGAGAAGCAGGTAGGCCCGCCTGAGTCGTCTCAGCGATGGCTTTAGCCTTTTCGCTCTTCGTCTTCTTCTTCGAGGCGACATAGTCAGGATCGCAGGTGAGCTTAATGCGACGGTGTCGTAGTCGGGCGGCAAGCAAAGCCCGTGCAGACTCCTTGGTGAGCCCGTCCCCCACCTGTCTCTCTGAGCTCATCCAGCGAAGTTGACCTCCAAGTTCTTCCATCATTTCCTTCATCACGCGGATCTCGAGGCTGACCCGCTTATCGATCACGCTGGAGCTAACCCCTCCCTGTAGAAGGAGTCGTACAACGCCTTGGCGTCTGTCACCACGGTCGGCTTCAAGGCCGATGCCGACTTCAGAAGCTCCTTCAGCTTGAGGTTGGGATGATGGAGGTAGTGCCAGTACTTGCACACGAAGTCTATGCTGTCAACGGCCTGGCCTCCAGCTTGAGCTTCGGCTGCAAGTGAGCTTCGAGTGACCCTGGGAGCGCGAAAGCTACGCCAATCCAAAACATGGTATTCCCCATCTTCACCAGACTTGAACAGCTGGCGGTTGACCAACATCAGAATGTAGCCACCCTGTGAACTGCCGTCTGAGCGGGCAGTGAAGCCAGCATCAAAGAAGCACAACAGCTGCATCTCATCGGCGTGTCCGATGAAGTTGTAGTAGAGGCTGACGTCTTTGTGTTCCTTTGCGAACTTCAGCAGCCGATTGATTGCACATCGACTGTCTGAGTCGTGGCCTTGTTCACTTGCCCGGACAACATGGAGGTCGAGCACAGTAGATGGGGCGAAGTCTGAACTGCCGGCCATTGCATGGAACCAAGAATGCCACGGACCTGAGTGATCCCCTTTTCATCCAAAGGTTCGTGAGGACCACGGCGCTTGGAGATGGTGATGGGCTTCACCTTGCTGATGTAGTATTCCTGATGAAGGCGTCTGCCACCCTCAGGACCAGGAGTTCGATCCAGCTCGCAGCCGCAGTACTCCGGCTTATCCATGTCCTCCTTCCATTCACGGAAAGAAAAGGTGGCGCGCAGCATGTCGGTGACTGCTTTGTACCTTGGGGAGCGTGGACAACCTGCACCAAGCATATCATCAACGTGCATGATGACCATTCCACACAGCTTCTCAGGACCAAGGGCGCTGGTCTCTTCATGGACTGGGTCCTCTGCAGTGAAGTTGTGGGATCATCCTTCTCGTAAATGAGGAAGGCGCAGGGATCCATGGAATGGATGCTGTCGCAGACCTGCACGGAGCAAGCGATCAACCGCTTCCAAGTACCAGCCACGAGGTGCATCTGTCTGACCATAGCATGGTTTCAGCAAAAGCATCCTTGTGTCCTCCGTGGCTCCCAAAAGTTGCAGTGCCTCGGAGGGAAGTTTGGCCCACAACTCACGTGTTTGAGGACATCCTTGAAGGAATGCTGTGCTCACATCAGCTGTCCAAGTTGGCCAACGGAGGTTCGCAGCTATGGACAGCACCATAGATCTCGACAGTCTTGTCGTGGTAGGTGAGGATGTAGGTATGGTGCCTGCCAAGGCGTCTGGGTCAGTGAACCCTCGAACTATCAATCGAGCCTTGGCTCGTGGTGCGCCGTCTTCATTCTTGGACCACTTGAGCAGAATCCTTCAGGTCAGGGTTCGAGCTTCGTCGGCTTCAGCTGTCGTCTGAAAAGCCCAAACTCCGTGGTCGAAGAACGACTTTGCCTCCTTGAAGGGTGCACGATCGTGAGGACCCAGAAGCCTCTCGTTGACGCCACTTTTGTCTTTCTTGAACTTCTTGAGGCAGGCCTTCTTCTGTTCTTTTGCAACTTGCCGAGCACTGGTGCGAACCATAGGTGTGCTGGTGTACATGGCCATCTCTCGTCTTGTCGTACCGGAGAGCTGAAAGACAGTTGCGCCAGTCCAGCAGCCGGTGGTGCCCTCCGGAGGTGAGGTGACTGTGCCATCATCTGTAACAAGTTGACTTCGCCCATCAGCCAGGTGCACCATAGTGATCTTGATCTGGTCGAGCTGTTCTGGTGTCACCGGACAGTCTTTGGGGTTTCCAATGTGCATCCGACCCCGGCGAGGTACAACGTGATGGCGAATCAAGCAGCCAGCCTTCAGTTCTCAGTAATCGGAGATCCGATCACTGAGTTGCAGGTACCCCTGCTCATCCATGCGCCAACCAGAAGGCAGTGAAGTGGTATCAAGATTCTCAATGTAGAAGGCTTGACCATCGAGCTGCTCTGGTGCTGGTAGTGGAGGGGCAGCTGGTGCTGCACTCTCGGATCCTTCAGTGGCAGGATATGGCAGTTGGACTTGATGTCGTCGATGACGGAAGGGTGCAAAGCTCAAAGTCTCCTGACTGTTGAAGCGCAGCCGCTGTTGTTGGAAAGTCTCTGCAGGCTGTGATTCATATAGAGCAGCAGTAAGCAGGATCCAAGATCGGGTTCTGAGACGGCCCAACCGGTGTTGGTGGTGTTGTCTGTGCTGCTGGAGGTTCCTCGCTAGGTTCTTGGCTTGGCTCTGAAAGATCATCATCATCGCCTGGTACCGGCGGTGGCGATGTGGGTGCCTCTGCAGCCGGGCCTGATTCCGGTGCAGTTGGAGCCTCGGTCTGGGTTGGTGCCGGATCTGTCTCTGCTGGTTCAGGCGGCTGTGCCTCAAGTGCAGATCCATCGTCAGTCGGGGACGTTGGCGGGGAGGAGCCATCTCACGCTCGGACTCTGTGTCCAGGTGTGTGCCCTCGCCATGTTCATCATCCTCCACATCAGCCAGGTTCTGCCGGTTGACACGATGAAGGTCATAGAACCTGGTCACACCTCGAGACTTCAGCTGCCGGACCGTGTTCAAGGCGGTCTGCGTGTCCTCGATAGCATGGTTGAAGCTCTTCACGTCAGCTCTGACATGGTGAGGAGCGCAGCGGATCAGCTGGGTCTTGAATGCAAGCCAGTAGACTGACACAGGTCCGTCTGAGCCTTCAGTGGTAGCTCGGCGTTCTTTCATCGCAACTTGAGCAGGCCCCAGCCAGCGGATCTTGACCAAGTCTGGCTGTCGAGCGTCACGCCAGAACCACACATGTTGACCCAGGGCATACTCAGAGTTAGTCCCCTTGTACTTGAGGTGTAGAGCTCGACGGAGACGTCGATCAGCGTCTGCATCATTGAGGGCCTTGCGAGCAGCATGGCGCTTGGTAAGCATCTCCTCAAAGGTCTGGTTGCCTCCAAAGTGAGCAGGCTGTGTGGCATCAGACAACAGGTCACCGGCCAAGGAGGGCTGGTAGCCAAGTACCCACTGCGAGGGCGAGAAGCCAGCAACACCAGGCATGCTGTTCAATTGGGGAACCACGTAGGTGAGTGCCTGTTGAATTCCGGCTGATCCATCGAGCTTGAGGTCGTTGAGATAGACCTCAACTGCCTCGAATGACAGCATGCCTCCGCTCCACGATCGCAAGGCGTTCGCCGGAGCCACATTGTGCTTGATCTGGTGGGCAGCTGTCCATTCATCCATCTGAGTACTGAGCCAGCCACGGCCTTCATCTGTGATCAAAGTGCCAGGCGGACCAAAGTGTGCAACCCAGGTGCACTCCAGGGCCTTGACATAGTTGTCAGTGTGCTCGGAGTGGATCAACGAGGCAGCCGTGTAGCGAGTCGCACTGTCTACCAGGCTCATGATGGCATACTTGTTGGAACCTCGGCGAAGCCACATGACATCGGCCTGAAGCACCTCATTGAACTGCTGTGTTGTGGGCATCGATGCAGGAGCAACCTGTGCTGTAGGACTTGGCAGCCTGCAAGATGGTGTCAGACGCGCCTCTGGCTTCCAGCAGTTCTGTCAGGGCTTGAGGTGATGGATGTCCCAGGTTCCGGTGTAGGCGTTGCACAGTGCGAATGGCGTCTTGCTTAGTTTCACTCCGCAACTTGACCAGGGCACTTGTGGTGTCACGTTCATCTTCGGCAGCGAGTCTTTCTCGTCCACTGCAAGGGCGGCGGCCAGGGTGGCAGCAAGAGCCGGTTGGTACTCCCCAAGGTAGCGAGTGCGAGAGCCGTACCCAGGAGCTGCTCCTTCCAGGGGACAATGCTCGTGGTCATGCTGACACTGAAGGGACATTGCATCCTGGACTGCCTGCTTGGTGGTCAACAAGGACGTGTTCTTCTGGACAGGTTTCCAGATGCCATCAGAGTCCATGCACTGTGCACCATAGCCGCACTGTGAGAAATCAGCTCGACGGCCTGGTAGGTCACGTGGTGCTTTCGTTTTCCAAGACATCGCATGTTTCGGCTGCTCGATGGTGGCATGTCGGCCTCCAGCGACCTGAATCAAGTAGCCGCGGCGAACAAACATCAGGCGGCGGTCATGGTGGTGTTGACGAGCCGCTGTCAGCCCCTCCTTCTCTTCTGGGATGGTGTTCTTCGACCAAGCGACTGCATACGACTCCACAGCTTGCACTCCGGTGCAACAAGAAGTTCATCAGGAGCCTCCTCTTCAAGCAGTCGAAGAAATGCATCTTGATGGTGCAACAGCTCGAAGTCCCACCCAGTCTCATAGGAGAAACACCGAGTCTCCATGCCCAGGCTCTCAGCCATCTGTGCTGTTCGTGCCTTGCCACAGTAGACTTCCCACAAGATGCGAGGTCGTTCGGGGCGATGAAGTTCCTTCAGTTCCTTCGTGACATAGGCAGACAAGTGAGTGGCGAGCAGGACATCCATGGTCTTCAACTCGTGCTTACGCAAAGGCCTGGTGGAGTGTGGACTCACCGGTGCATCGGCCTTCTCAAAGGAGGTGAAGCCATGTTCAGCCGTCAGGGAGTCTTCGAGCTTGTAGCCGTCGTTCTGTTCAACCCCTTGGTCATTGGTCCTGAGCTCGAACTCTGGCTTCTCAGGGTTCTACTGGAAGCGCTGTCATGCTCATTGGTGAGTGACCACAGGTATTCGCCTTGTCTGCCCAAAGTGGCGGGCATCCATGGTGAACTGCCAATTCGAAGTCGTCGCTGAGCGAAGTCCATGGTCATGCCCAAGGCCTCAACGATCGGCCTGCCACACAACATAGGCGTGTTGCCAGGAAGGAGGAAGAGTTCGATGGTTCCGAACTTGCCATCCACGAACGTTGGGATGTGAGCTGACCAGTCAGACCACAGTGAGGCGTCTCCTCCAAACTGAAAACGGCGTCTGCCCCTGCTCATCTTGATGGTCTCGACAGGGAAGTCCAAGGAGCGCAGGTGGTCAAGGAACCGGCGAAAGGGTCCATAGCCGGACAAGAAGGCGCTGGCGCCGGGATCCAACATCACACACTCTGGCCGTTCAGCTCCGGTGGAGTCCTGGAAGATGAGTAGTGCACTCTCATCAACTGTCGAGGTCATAGCCATCGCCTCAGTGGTGGATGCAGGGCGCTTGACTGCCGGCGATGTGGCCGAAGGGCTCGAGGACGATTGAGGGCAGTTGGCTGCCCAGTGCCCCACCTGACCACAGCGAAGACATGTGGGGTCAGATTTTCCAGCTCCTTGTGGTGGATAGCGGATGGTGGTCTTGGACTTGCCGCTCTTGGAGCCCCCTTTTCCTTTCCCTTTTGATTGCCAGGGCATAGCCGGGACTCCACCATCCGTCAAGGCGACAACAGGAAGGTATCCACGAGCTGTCTTCAGTTCTTGAAATCGACGTCGGGCATCACTGTACGATGCAAAGGCAGCATTGTAGTCAGCAGAGATCTGTGAAGGACTGTGCTGCTTCTTCTGACACCGGCCAAGGCTCTTCTTCACCATAGTAACCTGCATCATGGTCGAAGTCTTGACTTTCTTCGTAGGGCTCGAAGTCTTGTGGGGCCTGATCATCAGCCCAATGCTCATCTTCTTCATAGTAGCCATACTGCCATAAGTCATCCTCCTGGTATAGATCTTCTTCACAGTCTTCAGCTGCATAGGCGCGGTGCTTCCAGGAAGGGGAGTGGCCTCCAAAACGACGATTGCGTTCAGCATTCCATCCTCCGCCCTTGAAGTCCTGGCCAAGGATCAGGTACATGGCCTCGATTACATCCGTCTTCTCCAAATTGGGCGCGCGCAATGTGATCAGTTGTCGTTGTTCTCGAGAGAGGCCTGCGCGACGGAGCAAATGCCATCCTTGAACAGAGGGAGGAAGTTCAACGCGGTGCTGCTGCAACTTTCTGTAAGCTTCTTCGTGATCGGCCACGTACAGCAAAAGTGTTTGGCCTGGGGTGCGTTGCAGCAAGTTGAAGTATGACTCGAAATCAGTGGGCAACTGAACTTTGGTGTCATAGGCGAAGTTGGCGTCGAGGGTCGGGATCACCTCCTCAAAGGCATCAGATTTCTCAAGTTCTTCATGCCCCCAATCCTGAAACAAACGCCAAGTGACACCTGTGAAGGAGCCCACGATGTTGAGCACACTCTCCGCGGACCGCTTGGTCAAGGCCAGCTTGCGATGGTATAGATGAATCCTTGCCCTCCATTCACGATAATCGGCCGGCTGGCCGGAGAAGATCGGCACATAGCTGTCCCTCAAGTCCAAGAAAGGTGTGCCGTCTTTGGAGCTCGAACCCGTGCCCGCAGCTTGGGCTCCTTTCTTCGAAGCCACGTTGGTGTTCTCAGGGACAAAGGGCTCTGCAAGGACGTGGTGTGGAAGCAGTAGAAACAACCAAGCTAGAGCGAGAACTGCCAACCTTGCCACGGGACTCAGCCGGGACGTAGAGCTCGTGGTCGCGAAGTGCGCAGTACGGAGCCACCAGATCGGTGGCTCCGCCACCAATGTAGAAACAAGGTCGTAGCTCACGAGGTCCACGACCAACACGGAAAGAAAGTGCGACGAACGGAGTCGACGCGGTAGGCGAATGAACGCCACACGCAGCTTTTCCAAAGCTCTTGAGCCCACCCTCTCGCTGGAACGTGTATGGGCTTCATGTACAAACAGTCATGAAAAGTCGTGACATGACATGTCAGCTTGACGCACAGCGTGCGTCTCAACAGTCCAAATATTCCAGTGCAAGGTTGCACATCTGGTCCAAGTGACATCAACGATCACGATCTGCGTGAGAAAAAAACACCCTAAAAAATAAACACGGAGCGTCGTCCAAGGTGTTTGGCCTCCGTTCGATCTCCTGGCGTACTTCTCTGTAAGCCTGCTCTGCTCGATGGACCGCCTCAGCAGGAAAGTCATATCCGGATTTCTGACCGATGCGTCCTGCATCCTCCTACCACACAGCCTCATGCCCTGGTCAAGTCCAAAACAACGAACGAACCCGCATTTGGACCACGAAGTATCTTCGCCACGCTAAAATTGGATTGCTTCACAGAGCCCTGAAGGGAGTGAGCTTAAAAATGTGTGTAGATGCCCCAGTCAACAAAAACTATTAGCATCCATTGGCGGCTATTGGCAAGTCAACCGTCTGCTGTACCTCGGACTTTGTCATCTGTTCCAAACCTTCGTAATCGTTTCTATTGGGGGATCAGCTTATCTGTTCAACCTCTGAGACTGATGCAATTTTCACGTATGTATGGTCGTGCTATTCTTTGGATGGACCTGTCACAAATCGATGCGTATGAGTGCTTGCTCATCGCATATCCTTCAAAAAAGGATGGACAAGGTCACCAGGACCATGAGCAAACAAACACTGAATCCTGACAAAAAGAGAGCGCCCTTGCTACACAACGAATGCCAACCACCTCCTCAGTAACTTTCTTTAATTATATATATATGTATATATATATATATATCACCCGAACCCCCTATCCCAACACTACATGCGTTCACAAGTTTCCTTCACAATCAAAGAAACACAAATACTTTTTAAAACATATATATATAATATATATTATGCATATACATATAAAGCTACATTTAAAAACTATATAATAAAACTGTAAATTGATATAAACTGACTGATGCCTTATGATGCATTGGAGGACTTTCTAGTCATAGAATGCCAATGTTTGGCGCAGGGGGGGCCCACTTGCGGCTGGCCCCAGTGCTGTGGGCTGCAGCCCGCACAACAGCTTGGCATCCAGGCGTTGTTGGCATAGGTCACTTGCCGCTGCCAGAGGATTCGGTTCGTCTTGGGCGGGTCCCCTCGTAGGTTCCCCTGATTTAACCGTGCTTTGCGGAGCGTCTCAGCAAGCTCTGCCTCGCGCTCCTGGGTCAAAAAGCGCAGCAAACATGGCAACTGTGTGGCTTAAACACGTCTGGTCTTGGTGGCGCACGCCCCTTGAAGGCGAACAACAGACTGTGGGACGTTTGTTCGGGTTCGTGCTTCAATGTCAAAACTATGCAACTTGATCTTACGGAGCTCAGACGTGCATGCTGGGAGTGAAAAGAAGGCGATTGAACGCAACACATGTGCCTGTGATCACGGCATCATGAAATCAAAATTTGAAAGCTATGCCAGCGTAGACCCCAAACATTTTGTGCATTTTTGTAAGTAAGCCACATGTCAAACAGTCAACGCCTCAACCCATTCCACCATCTCGTTACACTTGTCTCCCACTTGTTTCGGCGAACTCTGGATACGCTTGGCCGGATGTTTTTCCCGAAGGTGGCGGCTGGGGTGCTGCTGCCAGATGTTGATGGCAGCTGGGCGCTGGCCCCGCTGCAGGGTGTCACAGTTTGATGCCTATGGCTTCTGGCATGTCCCACCGCCACTACGACGACTACCACTACGTCTTTGTCACATTTGAATATCATTTCTTCAACACAGTAGTGCGCTACTAACACTATGACGACCATTGGTACATTGAGTTTTAGCAAAACTTAAGAGCCATGTGCTGATGGGCACCTCAAACCATGTACGCTGGTATGCGCGGTGTCCTGCACGCTGTTGCGCGTACGGTTGCGCGGTTGTTTGAACAGTGGTCCGCGCGGTCGCGTGTACGGTTGCGCGGTTGCCTGTACAGTGGTCCGCGCGGTTGCGTGTACAGTTGCGCGGTTGCCTGTACAGGTGGCCCGCGCGGTTGCGTGTACGGTTGCGCGGTTGCGTGTACGGTTGCGTGTACGGTTGCCCGGTTTCTTGTACAGTTGCATGCGCGGTTGCTGGTACGGTTGCAAGGTTGCGTGTACAGTCAGGCTGTTGGCATATGGACTTGCACAAGCATGTGTCTCAGAAACTCAAAGTTTTTTTTCTGCTATCTCGTGAAGTCTCTCTTGTCAATGTGACCCAGCGTCAATTTGCCCAGCTATGGTCACTGCTTGTGAAATTAACTGGTTCCAAAGACCAGTCTAAAGCAGGATGAATTTGATTGAGCACATATAAACAGTTTAAAGTTTAAAACAAGTCTATCTATATTATATTGTTTTTTTTTGTGATGTTCCTGTTCTGCTGAATTTGTTTGAAGTGTGAAATGTATCCATAATCCTGCGAAGCAAAAACGCAACCCACAATCCACAAGTTCTCTGTACTTTTCTGAACAAGTCTTTCCGTGGACTGCAGGCCAATTCAAGGCTCTCAGTCATCTGTGGCTACCCAGCCTCAGACAAGTTGGCGCACATCACAAGAGCTGTTTCAAATTCAAGCAACACACTTCAAATCGACAACAGACAAATTCAAACACAAATCACAAATTGTTTCCTGAAAGCTGTGCAGAAACTGTTCTACCAGGTCAGCAATCTGTCCTTCATCCTCTGACTCACTGGCCGTTGGAAAATCCAATTCCAATAAACACGCCAAGCAAACTGCCAAAGCCACAGTAGATGTAAACCTAGTTGAAAGTTGAAAGAACACGCACAAACACAGGTTGGGTTGAGCAGCCGTCATATTTGTATCAGTTGTATTTGTTTGTATGAGTCATGAAGGTGAACTTGGCTCCACTAGTGCAGTTTCAGCTTCGAATTGCCGGCAAGCTCAGTGAGCTGCATCTCGCTAAACTGGTCGAGGATTTGTGTTGGGAACTGCAACCCTTGTAGTACCAGCAGCTCTCGACCTGCAAGGTAGAAAGATATACTTCCAACTTCCAACAAATACAATCATTCCAAACTTCGTTTGTTCAAGCAACCTACTGTGGATTTTTTGTAGTAGTTTTGTTATGTTAACTATTTTTTATATTATAAATTATAGTTATATGAATATGTTTCCTTACTGTTGGTAGGGCTCCTGACCACTGTCCATCTACTAGTTTCAAAGTTGAGGTCCTGCCTAGCAGTAGTCGCTGCCTCTCAAGATCCATTACCCGCGCTGAAGGTAGGATAGTCGGCAATACCTAAGCGTTGATGTGTTCAGGTCTCATTCAGTTCAGTTTGGTTTGGACAGTGCACAGTAAACTGCAAAAGTTAGGGGCAAGCTCAACTGACCTCACAGTGAAGTCCGCAAACACTATCAAACTCAATCATTCAAACACCAAGACAAGATACCTCACCTGTTGAAGTTACAGATCGATTGGCAGAATGGTACATATCACCAAAACGGATACGCTGTCTGCCCCTTTCCTGCAATGTTGCCCTCTCATTCAGCAAGAAGACATGAACCTGTCAGCGTGTGACTCTGACTCTAAGGTGTTGTATCCACTGTGCATGGCTGTTTGTCAATGTTCAGTTATTTATATATAATTTTAAAGGACATCTAATTAGTGTGACCACGCCTCCTGCTCACGGGCAGAGAGGCTTGCAAACCACTTGTTTTCGGAGAGTGAGCTGGGTACTTTCAGCGGCCATTGCAATCCCCCTGACAGTCAGCTTGACACTGAGTGCATACAATGGATCTGGAAAAAGTGAAGTATACAAAAATGGCTAGGCGGGCCAAATAAAAGAAACTCAACATATCCCCTCCAATGTTTACTAGCTACAGGCTAGGGAACTCTTCTCTGCAATGGCTTGGTGCGTAGCCTGCCACTTTGAAGTTTCCTTTACATCATGATCAGAGTCATCCCTTTTCCCACGATCATCCTGCGCTTGCTCCTGTTTGGCTTTGACAGCTAGCCGACGTTGAAGCTCACGTTCAACAGCATCGTCGTCATCCGCGAGCAAAAAGCTGTCCTGGCGAAGCAAATTTGTATTTATATATACTTATTGTACTTATTATTCATAAGGTCATAAGGATATAACCTATAGATTAATATAACGCATCCAATTGTATACCTATGATCCTATGATATAATATACTACTCTCAGTTCAAGAAAATCTACAGTAAGGAATTGCCCAAAGCAAGCCAAACCAACACCTTACCTTAACAGCAAAGACCAAGAATCCACAGTGGGGCATTTCAAGCGACATGCTGAAAGATACTTCTCAATGATCTCAAAGCTCGCGCTGGGCTGCAATGTGTTGTGAAAGCCGCAGAACCACAACCGAACCCTCCTCTGTGGGATCCCGAAATCCTGGGAAATCACCTTGTACACACGGACACGGTAGTTGCAATCGCGAAGCATCCGCAAGATGAAGTCAAGGTTTGATGCACCTGTACCCTCGTCAAGATCCACGTTTTCGAGAATAAAGGAATGCACTGTCACAGAACTTAAAAGCTCGATGCATGAACGGAAAGTCACAAAGGAGCATGAGTCCTTTCAGGAGGGTCAAGTCAAAACTATATTGAAAATTGACAATTGAAATTGAAATAAATAGAATCAACAAGTGAACTATGAAAGACAGTAGAGCCACCCCGCAAACTGACCGCAGGCATCATGCGTCCTCATCCTCATCTTGCATGGCCTTTTTGAAGGTCTCGTAATTGCCATTCAACTTGCTGAAGCTCTTGCAGGAAAATTCCCCATTGAATACATGCAATATGTCTGGAAGTTCCTGACTTCTGTGAGTTCTACTACACTGCACTGAAAAGTGATTTAATCTAAAGTGTTTTCCCCATAAAGAAGGCAGAAAAGCAAACACAGTGTGTGTTCTAGTTGGAGACAGAGCACACACACTGAATGTCCCTGTCCATGGCGCAAGCAGCGTTTCTCATCTGTAAGAACCTTCGTCACATCATGGAATAGGCAAGTGTCTTGGAATGGTTTTCCTGCAAAATTTGCAAGCAAGAACTTTTGCTTGAAACTGGCAATCTCGGCCATGAAATGGTGCTTTGCCTTACTTTGGCTAGTGGCAGAGCGTTGATTTGGAGTCAGGTTTATATGTCAGTTCCATAGTACAGTTCTCAGTTTCATTAATTAAGTTTCAACCTTCAAGTTTATGGCTTGCAGTTTAAGTTAAGTTAAAGTTTGAAAACAAAAGAAAGCGACGCGGGGGATTGTGGTCCAAGTTGCATGCAAGTCTTGTGCTATGTCTGGCAACCTCTCGGCGAGTGCATCCAAAGCTTCAATGATTGCCATTGTGAACGATCCAGTCCCCGAAAAATAGTCTCCCACTGAAATCTCAGTTGGAAGTGCTCGGACTTTGTCAATAACTCTAGTTTGGTTCATCTTCATCGCCCTGTCCACCATTTCCTGCAATAGTGCCACAGGCCAAGTTTCAAGTGTCATTGTTATGTGTCAAATCAAGTAGTACAACTTGAAAGAATGAATTAATTAATGAATGAATGAATAAAGTTAAAATTAAAAATTAAGATATAAATTGTAAATATCTAAATATATTCAAGCTGGAATGCCTCAGCAGCAGATGCGAGAATATCTTTGGGGTTCAAATCACCACTGCCAGGGTAGACTTTCTTCACCTTCTCAACCACATTGATCTTGGGTTTAGGCCTAAGCTTTGGCTTCGGCAAAGCTTTGGCTGTTGGCGCCGTAGCTGGTGGTAGCTCCTCATCATTGGACTCATCATCATTGTTGTCATTGTCATTGCCATCAGCAGTAGCATTGTCATTGTCAATCAGATCGGCAAGGCCTCTCTTCAAGCTTGCATGAGACTCCTGTGACTCTTGATCTGCCGCATGAATCTCCACAGGCTCTGGTGGAGACTGTCCCGCTCTCTGGTCTTCCTTATTGGCCTGATGCTGATGCTGCGTCTCCGTTGTTTCCACCTTGGGCACTTCCAGTTTCGCGGGAGGCTGAGAGGGCTGCGGCAAAGCAGTAGCGTGATCAGCTTGAACCGATGGCTCCACCTTGGGCACTGCCAATTCTGCCGGAGGGTCAGGCTCAACTGACTCAACTTTAACTTGAGCTGGAGCCTCCCGTACCATGCGTTCCACCTTGGGCACTTCCAATTCTGAAGGAGGCTGAGCAGGCAATTGAGTCTCCAGTGTCTGCTCCATCCCAGAA